ATTTCTTTTCTTAATATTTTTTTGCAGATTTGCACATGTACAAGGTTTAAAATGTTCATGAAATATATATTTTTTAAAATATTGACGTTTTGAGCAGCTGCATGTTTGAGCAGTTGCATTCCTCTAGGTCAAAGATGAAAAAATGGGATTTACAATAAAAAGTAATTTACAAAATAATTTTGACGAGTTAATGTATTAATGAGTAATGTCTCTTTTGAGTGAATGTGCACATTTTTAATGTTAAGAGGTTTTACCATGTTATTACAACATTTAACCACTTTTTATTCATTTAAAAATTTAGAAATTATTTCAAATTTAAATATTGTACAAGAACTACAGCAAAAACCAGTTTGATGCATATTTTATCAATATTTTAGAAATTGTATTTGAATATTACCAGTACTGACTTCAATGGATTTCATTAAATTCCTTTGAACACAACTGCTCAAAATGGTCTAAATTTATGAAACCTACACATTCAAAACATTATTACTCTGAAATGTTTAAGTGTAAATGTTAAGTACTGTAAGGTCTTTCATGACACTACATATGCTGGGGTGTGAATTTGATAGGTGCTTGATATAAAATAAATGGTGCTTTAAAAAGTCCTTGAAAGTAGAGACCTGCATGGTTTGGCATGGCAGAATGCGAGCAGCACGCTTCCTTTATTATCAGAAAAAGCTGACATCTCAGTTAATCGCGATCTCATAAAGCTCTGTTATAACACTAAATATATGCACAATGAATCTTTCACAGTGTCTAAAATGAGAGGATTCGTGAGCACGCAATTTCAGCACTGCGGTGAGTAGATTCTAACTTAATCACCTCTGATTGGCCATTGCATTCCAGAAATCAACAGCTGAGTCTGTGATTGGCTACATTATAAATGGAAACTGCGGGAGTCCCGCGAATCATTTTATTCTCACGCATTCCGCACACACACGAGTCTCTTCCCGCCCGCACCCGCACTCGCCCATCAAGAGTTGTCCCGCGCCGCACCCTGTTGCGTTGGGTCCCGCGGTACTCCCGCGGGAGTTTTCTACTTGAAAGTCCTTGAATCTGGTGTTCATGAAAGAGTGGGAACCCTGTATTTACATTATTGAATTTGTGTCTACGGTTGTGTTGTATGTGATGTCTGATACATATGTTGAAAGAAAACAAGTGAAACAAGACACGGTATGTTGAAAAAGTTTATTGTTAAATATGGTCAGAACAGCTTTGGACTTCAGCGAGACAGACCAAAGAACTGAGAGTGTGTTTGCCTGGTGTTAATCCCTGTCCTGTCTTTAATAAACTGCAGATGTGGTCCACCGAAGCCAGTGGTGTCGTGGGGTTCTTTGTGGCGAGAGACGAAGTCCACTACAAGTGCACCTGTCCCTCTTATGTTCTTTTTTTATTATTACTGCAGAACTTAAGTATTATTATTACATACAAGCTCAGGGAAAGATGGTTGTATCTTTAACAATGAATGATCATAATGACAAACAGCAGAAAACAACTATAATGGGTTTGCATACATCATAGTATGAGATTATATACACAGAAAAAAAGGTACAATGACGAGGTTAAATATCTTTGAATAATCATAATATGCATATAATCAATGCATCAAAATATTGCATTTGTTGTTGTTTATAAGCCGGAGGGATGAAACAAGAGAGTTAAGTTCAACAAGAAAAAGAGGAAAACAAAGGAGATTTAAGCCGGTTTTGCTTGTGGTACACAGAAAAAAAGGTACAATGACGAGGTTAAATATCTTTGAATAATCATAATATGCATATAATCAATGCATCAAAATATTGCATTTGTTGTTGTTTATAAGCCGGAGGGATGAAACAAGAGAGTTAAGTTCAACAAGAAAAAGAGGAAAACAAAGGAGATTTAATGATGATAATATTTTAACATATACCTTTAGATTTTAGAATAGGTTTCATGATCAAAATATTGTAAAATGCTAATGAAGTAATAATAATGATATTAATAATAATTTAAAAGGCAGTAATTTATTTTGTATGCTGTTGAAGATATTAAGTTGATTACAGGGCTGCATTTCCCGAAACCTTCTTAACGCTATGCCGTTTGTGAGTTATACCTTAAGTTGTACCTTGACGTTAATACGTGTTTCCCGAAACGTTCTTAGTTAAGTATACCTTCTGTAAGTCATTCGTTCGTAAGGTTAGTCTGGACCACTCTTAGCTATACCTTATCGCAGTTCACAGTTCACTCCGCTAGTGGCCACCAAAAAGCTTCTTCACATTTCAATCGATACGGTTGTAATTCTGTGGCAAGAAAAAGTGCAGAACCAAATAAATATTACAATTCTAAAGTTGTAATACACCCAGTGTTCAATTAATTGAAGTGTTTTTATGCAAAGAATAAAACTGTCATTATACTGATGGTTGTTAGTTTTTCCATTATAATATACAAAGGCACATCGGCTGGCAAACAATTAGGCAGCACATAATTAGGAGTCTATTTAAAGGGAATGAATGTGATGGGGAGTTTGGTCAAACTATGGAAGCGAGACAGCGAATAGTTGTCCTAAATTAAAGACGGCTGCGTCCGCGGAGCCAGTTAGTGTATGTGCACTATTTCATAATAGTGTCAGAATAGCTACAATGTCAAAAGATACAATTCTACAATGTCGCCTGCCACGGGAGCAAATTCAGCAGCTTTTACAACTTTGTAGAGACAAACTCGACGGAGCTACCCCCTAAGCTCCGAAATTCAGCTGCTGGCGGCTCTCCATTTTTATGCTGTGGGGAGTTTTCTGGAGGTGGTTGGGGATGGATATGGGCTGAGTAAGACCTTGGTGTGGCGGTGCGTTCACTCAGTCACAAACATCCTGCTCCGTCACGCCACCAATTACATAGCCTACGTATGCCTTTCACCAGGCACGAAGTGATGGAGGCACATCAAGGCTTCCATGCCATTGCGGGTGTCCCGTGAATAATTGGCCTTGTGGACGGGGCACTTATCCCCATCGCCAACCCATCAGCACCTCGACCAGGCCTTCATAATATATATGAACCTGATAATATAAATGACCCTTTCAAAAGCAAGTGAAGCCAAACAGCCAGTTAATGTAGCTGGTTAAGGGAGAATACTTTTGGCTGTGAGATTGCAGGATCGCACACTTGCAAAATTATACATACATACATACACACACACACACATATATATATATATATATATATGTGTGATATCCAAGGTTGCATTTAGTTTGCAATTTTGATTATTTTATAAATGCAGTGAGCCCCGATAAATGCAATTTCTACTATTTCTAAAGTGCTTCTTTATAACGAACATCGCTTTTTCAATACTTTACCCGCTCTATAACGCAGTGAAGGAGCTCCTGTATATAGTGAACAATTGATTCTCGAGCCATCGATATCAACCTATTCAGCACCACCGCCCATGAACAGCACCTGCTCAACCTCAACGTTGAAACAATAACTTTCATTATTTCAACCATATTTCAACGTTGAAGTTTGGTCATGTGCCGGCTGGTTTTCAACTGTTCAGCATTGAAAGTTGTATTAATGTTGTTTCAATGTTGAAACAAGAACTGACCTTATTTCAACCATATTGTTGAAGGTCGGTCATATGCCGGCTGGGGAGGAAAACGCTTAACGTGTAATTAAAAATGTTGCTTTAATATTCTGGCCTAATCTGCATGTCTTTTAGCATCACTGACTTACTACATTAAACCAGCATTTTAAAATGCTACAAAACTGTTCAAGCTTCCAGGGATTTAATTTTAGTTGTCATTTGTTGAAATAAATATAAAATGCAGTGTGCTTGTGTCTGTCTGCTGAATGTGACCCACAATCTCTGATTCTCCTCAGTGGCCATGGAAAACACTGTTTTCACGGAAATCAGATCAAAGTAAACTAAATTCTACAAAACTTAAGAGAAAAAAATCGGTAACACTTTACTTGAAGGGGTGTGCATAAGACTGACATGACACCTTCATAATCATGACATGACACACGTCATGAATATGAAGGTTTTATGCATGTTTATGACAACTGTCATTAAGTGTCATTCGCTCAGTTATGTCATTTTTAAAGCAAAGATGACATTGTTTGAGATGCCTTTGTTATGACAACTGGACATAAACCAATACATCATAACCTGTCAGTGTCTTTGTCATGACAACTTGTCTCTTCTACGAGAACAGGTATCAGAGCGACTCAGACAAATTAAGATTCGATCAGATTGGTGTTGAACAACCCAAAGAGCCGAATTCCACAAAGGTGCCCAAGACAACAGGATGTTCGTAAATCAGATCCTAGCGCCAGCCAGTCTGAAGCAAGCCTAACCAACCAACTCTTTCACAGAACAGCTTGCAGCATTAAAGGGGTCATATGATGCTGCTAAAAAGAACATTATTTTGTGTATTTGGTGTAATGAAATGTGTTTATGCGGTTTAATTAATAAAGCCTTATTTATATTAAAAAGAGAAGTATATTGTGTTTTGTGCTTACGAGTTAATGTCTTAAACTGCCGATCTTGTTACTGTGCTAATAAATAGTGTTTTCACTATTCATCTAGTCTCATTACTTCTATTCTTTTACTTTAGTTTCTTTTCTTTTCCGTTGAGAGTTTCGTGTTATGGGTTAAGTTTTGCAACTCCGTGTCTCCGAGTTCACCTCGAGTCTGTGACCGCTTCAAAATTCAACCAGCCCACAACTCCGCATCTTCAGCCAACGCCCAACCACTGGGACCTGTTTCCCTTACATACTTTAAAAAGTAAAACTTCTCTTGGCTTTGCATCTCATTCTGCTCGCCGCATTTCCACGTGTGTGTGTGTGTGTGTGTGGTTGCTAAGTTACAGCTAAACACTGTGGATAAAATAATTACAACAGAAATTATTTTGTCTTTATTTCTAGCGGATGTGCAGTTGATTGGTCAGCAGGACTCCCAAAATGGTAAAGTAAACGTTTTATACTTTAAAAAGTAAAACTTCTCTTAGCTTTGTATCTCATTTTGCGCGTGGGGCGTCCATGTGGTGCCTGCTGTCTGTTTGTGGTTGCTAAGCTACAGCTAAATACTGTGGTTGCTGATTAACTTTTTAACCGTACCTCTGCGTTAAATAATTACAACAGAAATGATTTTGTCTTTATTTTTTTCTAGATTTGCTCCAGTTAATAACCCAGCCAAATTTTATAGTGGACCTCACCCAGGAGGACTGGGAAAGCGATGACCGAGCAATGCTAACAATACACGAAATCCAGCACACAGTCCCTTTAGAAAGAAAAGAGCGATAGCGCAGGTTAATCCGGCACCGAGAGAAGAAGAACACAACAGTAAGTTTTTTATTTTTAATATTTTTTATAGCGTTGGGACCACGTGCAATGCTAGGCCGTTTGGTACATAGATCTTCAAAATGGTTATAATAAAGTTAATAATACGCTTTTTAAATTTTTTTAATTTATTTTTCAATTTCGCTATTGATACATTTTATTTTTTACATAAGATGATTAGATAATTATATTTTTATTTAGGACACATGCTTCAGCTGCTAAAGATTTACTTATCCTTAAGCTACTTTGTTGACATCTTGTGGCTCAGTCTTGCCATCGCAATTATTATTATTTTTTTATTTTATTTATTTATTTTTTAGACTGATCTATTTTGACCCGTTTTATCTCACAATAATCTGTTTGGTTAATTTCTCTAGATTTTTAATATTGTTTTTCTTTAATACATAATGTTATATTTTTATTTAACAAGCTAATTAGATAACTTTATATTTTTATTTAGTACACATGCTTCGGCTGGTAAAGATTTACTTATCCTTAAGCTACTTTGTCGCCATCTTGTGGCTCAGTCTTGCCATCGCAATTATTTATTTTTTTTATTTTATTTATTTATTTTTTAGACTGATCTATTTTGACCCGTTTTATCTCACAATAATCTGTTTGGTTAATTTCTCTAGATTTTTAATATTGTTTTTCTTTAATACATAATGTTATATTTTTATTTAACAAGCTAATTAGATAACTTTATATTTTTATTTAGTACACATGCTTCGGCTGGTAAAGATTTACTTATCCTTAAGCTACTTTGTCGCCATCTTGTGGCTCAGTCTTGCTATTGCATTTTTGATCTGATTTATCTAGCAATAATCTCATTAGCTAATTTCCCCTTTATTATTTTCTAGATTTCAATATTGTTTTCTTGATTTACTAATTATTATTTAATATATTCATGTGACTTTAAAGTCTTGACAATGTTTTTTAACCTCTGTTAATTATATACAGATAGATCATCAGAGCCTGACAGAACCGTCGATGATACCGAACCTGAGATAATTCAAGGTATGCTTTTCATATTTATTGTTAGATTATAATTTTTCATACTTTTATTATTTAACAAAGAAAATTTTGATTGTTATAACTATAAATCTTTAAAGCAGTAATAGATATTACACTCATCCAGTTATTTAAAAACTGTAAAAAAAAATTTTTATTTTATGTCACTATTTTAATGACCAATTAATTTATTCATTTTCATATACTAATTATTTAAACTACTATTATACTATTCAGACAGATCGCCCAGTGGCACGGACAATGCTGACTGAGACGCAAATAAATGAGTGGGAAAGAGCCAGTTGGACAAGTGATCACAGCAAAAATTCTTCGCAGAGGGGTAGACAAACACCATTCGCATTTGATGAAGCGTCCGAGGAGAAAACTGAATCGCTGCCAGAGCACCATCAGAATGACCCGCAGAATGATGGTGTAAATGAAAGATTTGACTCTTTGCGCGAAGAGTTGCTTAACGGGCAGGACGCTTTCTTCAATTAACTTCTTAACAGGCAGACAGCTTTCTTCAACGACCTTCATAACCGCATGGATGCTAGGTTTCATGAACTACAAGGTAATAGTTTGTGACAGCCTCTATATATGCATGTGTCTGTGTCCGAATACTTTGCAGCTCTGATTATGTTGTGTGCTTTTACTATTATTTTTCTACCTTTGAATGCATTTTTATCCAAATACTTTGTAACTTCTATATATGAATCTGTTTTTTATCTGAATACTATGCAGCTCTGATTATGTTGTGTGCTTTTACTATTATTTTTCTACCTTTGAATGCATTTTTATCCGAATACTTTGTAATCAGCATCTACATCTGATGTTATTTTACAGCTCTGATTGTACCGTTACAGCTTTGTGACAGATTTACCATCTTTGTATCCGAATAATTTGTAACAGTCTCTATATTTGCATGTGTTTGTATACGAATACTTTGTAATCAATAATTTTACACCTCTGTTTGTATCGTTATAGCTTTGTGAATGCTTCTGTTGTCATATTGTTTGTAGGCATGTTGTATGAGGCAGCCATTTTGTATGAGGCAGCCGTATTGTTTGTAGTCATTTTGTATGTCACCATTATGTTTTGTAGTTTTTTGTATGAGGCAGCCATTTTGTATGAGGCAGACATTTTGATTTGTAGTCTTTTTGTATGCAGCCATTTTGTATGAGGCAGCCATCTTGTTTGTAGTCTTTTTTGTATGTCCCCATTGTTTTGTAGTCTTTTTGTATGAGGCAGCCATCTTGTTTGTAGTCTTTTTTTGTGTCACCAGTTTTGTAGTCATTTTGTATGAGACAGCCATCTTGTTTGTAGTCTTTTTTGTATGTCACCATTATGCTTGGTAGTCATTTTGTATGAGACAGCCATCTTGTTTGTAGTCTTTTTTTGTATGAAACAGCCATCTTGTTTGTAGTCTTTTGTGTGATGCCGTTTTGATTTGTATTTCCCCATAGGGTTGCTATCTTTTTGCAAATATTATCGCTGTTGTAACTATATATATATATATATAAATAAATAAAAAAATATATATATTACAATGGATGTCGGGGTTGTTCATAGTCGTCATTCAGATCAGTCTCAGACCTGTTACAGAATGCCATCGAAATGCACACAGAGACGTCCCATAACTTGTGTGACATATTACATGTATGATGTAACGATTGATAGATCATTATCCAAATTCTGTAGAAAAACCATTTAATAATGAACAGACACAAATTAGTTACGATTTGCAACAATTAGAATCGGAAATAGAACAAAGTCTAAACGTTGATTTATGCATTTTGTTGCAGACCATAATAAATAGACACGGCCAGGGGTTACAGCAAAAAGCAGCACAGAGCGGAGGTACGTTCAGTACAGTTTCTGACTGTATCGCTGATTCGTCCGACAGCACTATCCGATCATCAGTTTCCCCTACAGGTAATGTCAACGAGGCTCCTTCCGGTAATAGCGATGCTGAGCGACTGTCGACTTCCCGCATCAAGCCCCCTTCTGACGCAGCATCCCTGTCAACTAGCACTATGGCTAATAACCACGAACCACGTCCTTCAGGCGTGACAGAACCAAGTCGTGTGAACATTGACTCGCTGATACGAAACGGCGGTATCGTAAACGGCTATCATGTAACACCTAGGCCTCGATTTAGCAGTGTAGAATTGCGAAGGACGATGAATATGCGTGAAATAAGGTCTATGGATTTAGCATCCTATCACATATTATTGCACGAAAAAATTGAGGTAATAGCATCGTTTGCCAGATGTATCGGCGGGGACTCTAACGTGATTAATTTGACGATGAATGCTGAAAGCTTGAAATCACCCGTTAATGCCGTTTTAACACCTGGCAATAGTCACAACGTTAATCTTTTTATCGAACAAATTGAACAATTTTACAGCGCGAGTTATTGAGATCAGTTATTGTCCGACGACGCTGTCGAGATTGAAGTCGACATAGCCATGAACAGACAAGGAGGAGGCAATCGTAAACTCACAGACTTGCCATTTGATCAGGTGATTAAAAGAAAAAAGCTGAGTTTATTTACACCTGCGAATATTTCTAATAAATTATGCCTCTATCTGTCTCGCACATTTTCTCGAACCACAATTACCCGAGAGCGAATTAGAAAGTCAGGCGACCATCATCCACAACGACGCAGGATTTTCGATCCAAGACAAGATTCATGATATAGCAAAGTTTGAAAATCCGCTAGACATCAAAATTTTTTACAGGATGGCCGCAGGAGCGTTAGAAACATTCAAAAATTCTGTCGAAATTCATCGTAAAACCGTGTTGCTTTATTTACGAGATAAACATTACTACATGATTCTGAATCTGACAGGTTTCATAGGCGCTGCGTCAATTCTGCTATAAAGGCTACTCAAAAATCCAAGATCACCATTGTAAACACGTCTGTTTTGACCGAGATTGCTACAAATACCCTAAAAGAATTGTTCACTCACCGGCCACTAAATTGGACAATAGAAGATTGGAAAAACATTGCGTGGTCTAATGTCTCGATTTCTGCTGCGACATTCAGATGGTAGGGTCAGAATCTGGTGTAAAGAACATGAAAGCATGGATCCATCCTGCCTTGTCTCAACGGTTCAGGCTGGTGGTGGTGGTGTAATGGTGTGGGGGATATTTTCTTGGCACACTTTGGGCCCCTTAGTACCAATTGAGCATCGTTTAAACGCCACAGCCTACCTGAGTATTGTTGCTGACCGTGTCCATCCCTTTATGACGACCGTGTACCCATCTTCTGATGGCTACTTCCAGCAGGATAATGCACCATGTCACAAAGCTCAAATCATCTCAGACTGGTTTCTTGAACATGACAATGAGTTCACTTTACTCAGATGGCCTCCACAGTCACCAGATCTCAATCCAATAGAGCACCTTTGGGATGTGGTGGAACGGGAGATTCGCATCATGGATGTGCAGCCGACAAATCTGCAGCAACTGCGTGATGCTATCATGTCAATATGGACCAAAATCTCTGAGGAATGTTTCCAACACCTTGTTGAATCTATGCCACGAAGAATTAAGGCAGTTCTGAAGGCAAAAGGGGGTCCAACCCGGTACTAGCAAGGTGTACCTAATAAAGTGGCCAGTGAGTGTGTGTATATATATATATATATATATAATAAAATATAAAAATAGCTGCAAGCTGCAATTACGGGGCCAAGCACTCCAAATGCAAAATGAGGAGCTAAGCATGGCATGGAGCATCAGACCAAATGCAACAATGAGTAATAAAAGCAATTTTAGGATTTGGCGTAAAGAACATGAAAGCATGGATCCATCCTGCCTTGTCTCAACGGTTCAGGCTGGTGGTGGTGGTGTAATGGTGTGGGGGATATTTTCTTGGCACACTTTGGGCCCCTTAGTACCAATTGAGCATCGTTTAAATGCCACAGCCTACCTGAGTATTGTTGCTGACCATGTCCATCCCTTTATGACTACAGTGTACCCATCTTCTGATGGCTACTTCCAGCAGGATAATGCACCATGTCACAAAGCTCAAATCATCTCAGACTGGTTTCTTGAACATGACAATGAGTTCACTTTACTCAAATGGCCTCCACAGTCACCAGATCTCAATCCAATAGAGCACCTTTCGGATGTGGTGGAATGGGAGATACGCTTTGCATAGATATAGCCTTAGAGTCATTTTGGCACCATGCCTAAAATTTGTAGCGTCACTGTATGAAAACGGTTCCATCTATCGACACGAAATCCATAACTTTTGTCAGCACAGTCTGAAGTTGATTTGACTCGATTTTGCTGTAAATCTGACAAACGGTCAAGGAGGAGTTCGAAAAAGTAGGTTTTCAACATAAATGAAAATGGCAGACAGGAAGTTCGGTTTAATATGGCAAAATTGTTATGTATGTTGTCGGCATGATCCAAGGAATATTTTGAGACCAGTTTCATTAGAAATAGGCTAATGCTATCAAAAGTTATTAACAGCTTTGAAAATTTCATTATTGATGGTTAATAAATGCTTTATAACTCTCGACCCATAGGTGGCGCTGTTACCAAATTGATGTGGCATGGTCAGTGTGAGGTGCCAATGGCATATACAAAGTGTGGTCAATATGTCAAAGTTTCGTAGAGATACAGCTTCAGATGCAGTTTGCCATCTTTTCAGCAAATTCGTTGATGTGCTAAACGAAAACCGTTTCGTATATATCAACAAGAAATCCATAACTTTTTGCCAGCATGGTCTGAAGATGATCTGAGTCATATTTGGTAAAAATCGGACCAACAATCTAGGAGGAGTTCGAAAAAGTAGGTTTTCAACATGAATCAAAATGGCGAACAGGGCGTATGGTCAATTTTGGCATAATTTATATTGATGTTCTCGACATGACCCAAAGAATATAAGAAGTCCAGTTTCATTACAATAGCCCAATTTATTCAAACGTTATTAGCATTTTTGTAAATCTCTTTATAACTTTTGACCACAAGGTGGCGCTGCCCCCAAAGTTTTTGAGTACCATCAGGGCATTGTGCCCGAAGACACATACCAAGTTTCGTAATGATACGCCAATGCGTTTGTAAAATATAGCATTTTACGACATAATTCAAAATGGCTGACATGGGATCGGCATGCTGCAGTTTTGTGATTTTTGGCCAAACCATTCAAAAGTTATAAGCAAAAATATGCATTTTTCATATCTCCTGACCACTAGGTGGCACTGTGCCGAAACACTGCAGGTAGTCTCAGGTCATGATTGCTATAACACACACTAAGTTTGGTATAAATACGCCAAACCATTTTAGAGATATAGCCTCACATGCATTTTTCATGCTTTTCATAGAATTCGTTTGCGTGTTATTCGAGAACGGTTGTACGAATCAAATTGAATTCCATAACTTTTTGCCAGCATGGTCTGAAGATGATCTGACCCAATTTTGGTGAAAATCAGACAAACCGTCTAGGACGAGTTTGAAAAAGTAGGTTTTACGAACAATTAAAAATAGTGAAAAACTAGAATGAATCAAAATACAAGGAATCAGAGGAAAAAATAATTTTCCTTCTTTGTCTTACAGTTCAAAAGTTATTAGCATAAACGTGAGTGAAAATTTGGACAAGTGGTGGCGCTAGAGAGTTTGAGTTAGAGACTCCAAACTTGCTATGGTTAATGTTGGGACTGTCCACTATCAGTGTGCCAAATTTCACAACTTTCCTGCAAGTGGTTCTATTGGCTGCCATAGAATCAACAGCGGAAGAAACGGAAGAAGAAAAATAATAACGGCAACAGATACAATAGGTGACTACGCACCTTCGGTGCTTGTCCCCTAATAATAATAACACCAACAGATACAATAGGTGCCTATAATCCTAAGGAGAACAATAGGGCCCTTGGGCTTGGGCCCTAAAAATAATAATCCTTAGAAAATCAATAGGGCCCTGCGCCTTAGTGGCTTGGGCCCTAAATATAGCTGCAAGCAGCGATGACGGGCCCATGCCATCAGCGCAAACACCACACGTAGGCATCAGGAAAACGGTGCCCAGCAGGCAAATGCATTCACAGTAACCCTCTGGCAGGCTGGTTTTAAGGGATACAGCAATGAAATGGTTAATTTGGTCCAGCATGGTCTTGTCAGTCATCTCTCCTTATTTTCGACCTGTGATCAGTCAAAGCTGACTCCGGTAGCTCTTGTTGCATGCAGGGTTGCCAAGTCCGCATTTTTTCCACAGATTTGGGCTACTTTTAAACTGTTGCCATGGGCAGGGGCGTAAATTACGTCTAATAGTTGGGGGGGACAATAGACATAAAATTTCTCAAGAGCAATTTTTGAAGGGGACACAAGTAATACAGCTAAAATTGTATTTGTAAGGATATTTATATACAGAGGAAAGCCTTACTACTATTAGTGTAGTTTTCACGTGGAATTGGGCTAATTTATCACTGTTGCCGCGGGTTGTTTTTCATGTCCGCGGGTTGAAGCGACCCCAATAACATGTATTTTAGTCCATGGAACGCGATTTGTACCGGGGGACCCCCTCGAAAAGTGGTTAGTTTGGGCTAGTTTTGGGCTAGTTTTGAGTAGCAATTGGGCGGGTTTTGTTGTGAAAACCTGGCAACCCTTTCCGTCAAGCAAGTGACTTTATTATTGCTATCAGCGGATTCATCGAAAAATACATCATAAAGAGAAGATAATCACTTCATCTGATGTTTAAGTGAATAAAATAGACAGCCTTACTTACTGGAGTTCCACAATATTGACTCTCTCACCGGACTTGTGTGTAGGTGATGTAAAAGAGGAAAGCAGGCATTTGGACCAAAGCACTGTGAGGCAAGGGAGGGGAGACTCAAAATTTTTCTAAACTGAATGATTTAAGAGTAGAGTAGATAAAAATGGATCGTACTCACCAATCATGGCTCCCACGCATGACTCAGGCTCATGATATAGGCTGGAGGCGAAGTCCGAAGCCTGGAATGAAGGATTTAAAGGCAGCCGAGCACGTCTTGGCCTCCTTAAACCTCACGACCACCGTCTCGACAGAAGTGCCCAAAAGCTCAGAAGGGGAAACCGGCACATCAAGAAGAAAGCCCTTCTCTTTCGACCCGATATCCACCAGACTCACCCACAGATGTCTCTCCGTAACCACTATGGCTGCCATTTTTTTTGGATCTGCCAATGGTTAGCGGTACGGAGAGCAAGATCTGTGGTGTGACGCAACTCTGCTACCTCATTAGGGGATAGACCCTGCCTTTATCCAGGTCTTTCAGCAGATCAGCCTGAAAAGCCAAGAGCAATGGTGTGCCATGGT